CCGGACTAGGTGCTTTTCTTTAAGTCTTCCTACCAATATGACCGAATTGCGAAAACAAGGTCAAACAACTACTATTCAACGAAAGGAGACTGCGACCACACAAAAGGCCACACTATCTTGGTCTTTATACGTTCGTTTAAACATCATTGTTAAATTTAAGTAAGTTAACCCTTAAAGTAGAAGTTATCACTCTAAAATAAGTAAAAAGCCTCATGATTCCGTTGAATTACACTCATCCTTGCCTTTTAAAAGGCTTTCTCATCCAAACTGGACTACAGTTAACCTCCAGCCTGGGTCTCATCTTCACTTCAGCTGGTATTCGAAACCAGTTCTTGAGCGTAAGTGGCGATAAATTGTCCCTTGCATAATCAAATAGCCTCTAAAAAAGGCAATTCTTCATCGGTTTCCGGTGGGGCCAACTAACGAATCCGTTGCAGCCGATTTGTCTTTCGAGCTGAAAGTTGAATCACTTTAAAATTCGTATATTTTACATTCGTATGTGAGTAGGGTTTCGAGACTACCAGTAAAGTGCAATGAGATGTATTCACCCTATTTCGTGTAAGGTGATGAAGGACTGGTAGTAGAATTTTCCCACAATTGTGGGAAAGCAAGGCTATGTGAAATTCAATGGAAACGTCAGCTCAACTCATATCATTGTGGGAAAATTATATTACCATTCCTTCATCATCTTAGACGAAATAGGGTGAATACATCTCATTCGTTTATTTTCACATCTAAAGACCTTTTTGGTACGTCTGAGCCTATATGATCCCTTCAATTGCACTGCATCAACAAGGCTAGCATGTTTGGACCAACTTCGCTCTAGCACAGCAGCAAAAATAGCATCTCATTTCAGTACACAACCGACGATTGATTACTCTATAACTTGGAGTTCCATGGCATACCAAAAAAGCCGTGTCATCCCGAACGCCAGCTTCAGATTGTCCGGCAGCAGTTCTCGGTCATGGAAATAGACAACTTGTCCTGGTGCGAGCGTATTGTCTCGGCTGTCCTGTTCCGTACTCGCCTCTCAGCTCCTATGAATTCCAACAAACTTGACGCTCTGTAACATACCTAAACTACAAATGCTCGTGATGTACTCATTCTGCCATACACAGCATCCTTACCACACCCACATTTTCCTCTCATGCTCGGCCACGGAAACACGAAGCAAGCATTAAAGCATTTCGGGTCACAAAAATGTGTTTCTTCTTGATTATGCTGAAACTAAATGCCGATAATTTTGTCTTGGGCTACTTTATACAATCCAGCAGTTGACAGAGTCAAGATTGGGAGTAGAAAATTGTGAAATGTTATTATAGTATATAACATTATATCTTAGTCCCCCCGAGTCATTCTCAGAGAATAAAGGAATGATAGTTAATTTTTTTCTAACTGCTATAATTATGCATCAAGATATTGTTGAAGTTAACGAGATTTCCTGCCTCTTTTCGGGGGAAAATGGGCTGAGCTTACGTCCATCATTCGATGTACATCATCAGAGCTGGGTCCCATTCCTGTAAAAGTATCACGTTAACAACAGGGCAAGAAGACTATCCGGCTATATCTTACCTCTTTTATAGACTCAATAAAGCCAAAAGAAATTAAAAACATAGGTAGATAGATATAGAGTGGTTCGGGAAATTATCTTTCATACTGGTTCTGGTAATTTTGCTCGAGTGTGCGTGTGTGTGTGTGTGCATGTTAGCATCTATACGCAATACCGGTTCTAAATCAGAGTGATCAAAAGGCTAAAGTCATGCTCTGATCATCAAGGCCTTATGACCCCAGAGAAATCCTTGACCGAGACTTCGTAGGTCTGTAAACAAGTATGGTTGAGATAATGAGATAAGAGCTTGTAAGTATGAAACTCAAGTTACGAAGCACTTGTCCTAATCTCTCAGTCTAAGGTCATTAAAGTTTAACTCCCAAGGAAAGGCAAGACTGGGGTTGCGTAATTTGGCATGTATGGTTTGGTTGATGAGCTTACTCTGACATGTTGGAGGAATGTGAGTGAAGTTATAACCAGAGCCGAGCAGACAAATTGAGTAGAAGTGTC